ACGGTCTTGCCTGGCCCGTGTCTCTTGAGCGTGGCAAAGGAGTGGAACTTTCAGTGATTGTCACGGCCTGATTATTGGCTGTCACATCTTAGTCGTGTCAAGTCTTTTAAGTGTTCACCGCGGTCAGATGCAAGCCGTGTCTCTTGCCCGTGTCATTCGCTGGGGGTTGGTACTCTGAAGCAGCATCTTGCCACGGTCAAGTGTAGATCATGGCATTCTCCTCATTTGCCGAGGGATGGCACTCTGAAGCAGCATCTTGCCACTGTCAAGTGTAGACCGTGGCATTCTCCCCGTGTCATTCGCCTAGGGATGGCAAAACCTTGCCACGGTCAAGTATGGACCGTGACAGTATGACCGTGTCATGAGCCTTTATCTTTTTAGCTGGCTTCGGATGTTGCCACGACTAAGTGTATGACCGTGGCAAAGTAACCGTGTCAAATCCCGAGAGATGTCATATCATGCCACGGCCAGGTCCAGACCGTGGCATTCTCACCGTGTCAAAGTATGACACTTAGCGTAATTTCAACTCTTAGACGCCTGATTGACATGTCTGTCTCCCGCCTTCCGGAACTCACAGCTCACAACTCCAAACGACACCAAACCAAGTCCAGAAGAAAGATGACTTATCAAGCTCGAACTTTTCTGAAGAAACCTTTGGTGCTTGGGGAGTGGAAGGTTCTCCGGACAGCTCTTCTCTCCAGTGCATTGAAATGATCAATAGAAGCTCTTGGACCAGTGTTTACTCCGGAGACGGTATCTTTCAGCACATACCTCCAAACTGGATGATCTGAGCTGTTATGGAAAGAGAAATCAAAGACCTCAAATCTTGATGAAGGCCCCGGCAACTGAACCAGACTGGAAAAGCATCGTCCCACGCAATCTTTGTGACTCACCGGATCGGATTTGAAACTGTGGCGAGAGAATTGCGTCTTCCGGTGAGCTTAACTCTCAGATCACGACTCCAAAACCAATAATTCTACATGCGATGGAACCGTGACTCAATCTTCTCCAACTTTGCTGAAGAACCCGACAGCTGAATCGGACCGGAAGCTTCCCCGGACAGGAATTCTTTGGCACGTATCGGCAGAACTGGTTTTGGCCGAGAACTTGTGTGCCGCGGTAAGCATTTTGGTCGACGGGAAACCTTCCCGGTAAGTTTTTTAGCCGGTAAAACAGCTTCTCCGGTACAGTCTGATGCCGATAACACCGATAAGCTGTTTTCATCATTTTTGAACCTCCAAACTCCATTTCTTCACCTGGTTCACTCTCTCAACTCCAAGTTGCCTCCTGGTTCACATGTAAACACTCCAAAACATGCAAGACTCACCTGGACCTAATGCAAACCTCTAAGTCCTAAAAAAACACCTAAAGACCTAAAATTCATGAAATAAGACATGATTTGGAATGAAATATACAACCTAAATGATGCAAATTATGTATCCCATAGAGCTGCAATCTCCTCTTTAGGGTACACAAACTTCTCCATGGGGACCTCATTTCTGACAAAACCAAAGATCTCATCAATCTCCCTAAAGCTCACTTCGTACGCAACCCCATTGATCTCTAACTCAATGTGACCAAAACCGTTCCCATGGACTCTCTTGGGGTCTCTCTTGGCATAGATATACACTTCCAAAGTTGCAAGGAATTGCTGAGTTATTCCCTCACAGGCCACTTCTCGCATCTCAAAGAATGATGCTAAACCCTTATTTTGAAAGATGAGCTTAACATCTTCAAGGATCTCCAGCTTGGCCAACAGATCAACGTCAGGGAACCGTCCTTGTGTCACTTGTGCCTTGTTAAACTAGTGCAAATATTCTCCAGCAGTAGGCAAGTGGTCCTCCTCTTTCTCAGCTTTTGGTTCCTTCTTTGCTTCTTGAGTACCCTTGGGAACCGGTTCAAGTGCGGCTTCTCTCTCAACCTCGGTCTCAGTTCTCTCCTCATCAGGTGCCTCAGCTATCTGCTTCCCTTTCTTTTTCGGATCAGGGACCCACCACAAGTGCAAGCTCATCGTTCCTTACTCGTTTTGCAGCTGGCTCCTCATCGGCTCTTTCGGTGCTTTTTGAGGTTTTCTTGCTTGTTCCCCCATGTTTTGCTGAGGCCAAAGTTTTTCCCTTGTTCTGCTTCTGCTGAATCTCCTTTTTCTGTGTCAGGAAGCCGTTCTTTCTATCATCTGCAAGACAGCTCTCAAATAGAGAATGAGCACCAAGTATATATCACCAAAGTCATGTTCAATAGAAATATCAAGAACATAGTTCTTTCAAAAACCAATGGCTCAATGATTTCTTAGGCTAAGAGTGATCAAGAAACGAGTTTTAACAATGCTAAACATGGAGTAAAGGAACAAACTCAGCCAAGGAACCATCTCGCCATTAAACCCGGTTTAAAGGTGCAATTTTTCAAGAATTTTCATGTGTTGTCTATCCTGATGGAATTTCTAAAATTTTTCCCAAGGAATCTAACAACGTAAAAGAATCGAAATTCCATATAGAGAAAACTCAATATTTCTGATAATGAACATGGAAAAAGATGAGTTATTTTCAGATGAAATACCTTGGGGAACACAGGATTCAAGCTAAGCGAGATGAGAATGCAGGATAGACAACCTCTCTACGAGCTCAATGCACTTGGAATCGTGTAAAATGAGTGATAAATGAGAGAGATATGCTCATCTGAATGCAGGGAAGGGAGAAGGAGAGCAAACTTGGGGTTTTGGCTGAGTATGGAGGCAGGTATGGGCTGGAGTCTCTTTTATAGCTGTCATTTGGACTCTTGTGTGACTGGTCCCCCCTTCCTCAAAGACTCCAGGCATTGACCTGATAGCTACGACTTTCGAGTCTTTAAAGAGGTATCAATACCCTGTAGTTGTAGTACAAGGGGTATCGAATCCAAGCTTGTGGTAGACACTAGCCTATGATGCTCATCGCTTAAGTCAACTGCAAGGGTTTGAAGTTTTTACCTTAATCGCTGAGGTCGGATCCCACGTAGTACGAGGGATTGGAGGTGGAGCAAGACGGTGTAGACTCCCTTGGTGGATTGCCCTCTGATGAGTCAGGCTGAAATGCCGTGGCCGGGTTGATCCAGTCCTCTTTTCCCGGTGGGAACTCAGGATCACATGCATTGGAGGTCTCACCGACTTCTTCTCTTATAACCGGTGCAGTTGAGGTGGCCGAGTTCTTATCAGGTGATGCAGGCGCTGTGAGCTGCTTCACTTTCTTCTTTAGCTGCCTCACATAATCAACAAGCTTGTGAATCATCTTGTCCTACCACTTGCACCATTTTTGAAGACCATTGACCCTTGAGTACAGCTTCCTCGTGTGATACTCAGGCTCACCCCAAATATAAGGATCAAAGTGATATCGGCCTGCCCCCATTCTTCTTTCTGAGACTCTAGGCTCCTCGTTCTCACATCCATCAGCTCTGGCTTCGTTCTGAGGCCTACTAGACTCGACCTTCTCTTCTTTCATTCCCTTGCGCAATGGTGGGTCTACATATGGATTGTACAGCTGATCTTTGAGCAGGTAGAATGAGACATTGCGCCTCTCTTGTAGCGTTGTGAGAGCTCAGTTGGGCAGAAGAACCTGTGTATCATCTCGGTGCAACAACTTGAAGTTATAAGCCCACTGGTTCCCTACTTTGCCTTCGAAGAAACAGCTTTTGCTCAGGTATTGCTAATCAATGAGGCTTGGCTAAGCGTTGGTATCAGGAAACACAAAGCCCCTTGCTCTTAAGATCTTTGTCACCACCCAACCATTCTGAAGCCGCCTAGTTCCTCTCTTTGTTCAATCACACCACACATTGTGTTGGTAAGTGAGCATCTGAATTGCAAAGAATGCATCTAGAGAAGATACATGTATTGGCCCTTCAAACTCTTTCTTGTCTTCGTGTGAGAGATGAGTGGCTTCAGGCCAAGACCTAGCATTTGTAGCTCGTTCAGGTGAATGACCCCAGGGTTGTAGGTAGAGAAAAACATGCAGCTTGTTTTGCTCTTTCCTCCCACATATGGTCCATAATAAATAATGATGCACATGTTGAATAAGTAAAGCATCATAATCCATATGTTAAATAAGAAAAGAATAAAATATTTATGCATGAGGAAGTTAGGTATCCACATGATAAATAGCTCTAAGTTAGGTATCCACGTGTGTAATAATCTTAAGTTAGGTATCCATTGTATCACTATAAATAAGAGGCTTGGGTGCTTGCATAAACCAAACCAAGTCCTGTAATCGAGTCTGAGAGAAAACCTTGAGTGTCCTTGTAATTTGTGAGTGTTCCATATAAATAAAATATCCCCCTTTGTATAATCATCTCTTCCATCCTTAAACAACCTTTTAAATACTCTTGATCCTAATAAACCTTTGTGATTGTACCCACTATGTGTCTGTAAATTTGGTATCAGAGCCATGGCAGTCTAAGCTTTAGATCTTATCTCCCCGAGGAGTAATAAGCCTACGAGTTGTCTTCTTCTACAAGCTAATATAGATAGTATGCTCTGTGGTTGCCACATAGTGGATCCTCCACATCAGAAATCTGACATAGCTAAGAAAAAAGAATTTTGAGAAAGAACTCATAAGATCATAATGCTCAAAGTACCTTGAGGCTCAAAGCTTTGAAGTATTGCCTCGGTTATCGAGCTAAAACATCTTACGAGGGATTTCTCAAATATTCTTAGTGCATCATAAAAACCAACTCTTGGCTTAGTATTACTCTAAGGGATATATAAGAAATAAAGCATTCTGTCTTGGTTTCTGGTCTCATCATATATCATGGAAAGTTCTCTAAACACAACTCCTTTTAGAAAATCAACCTCTAGTAAGATAGATTACTTATATGAAATAGAGTATGTGAGTGAAGATAGTAAAGTACCCATCACCCAGTTACCTTTATTAAACCCATATAAAGCTTTTACAAAACCAAACTCTACTTTCCCAAAGGTGATAAAACAAGTCTTTGGTCCCAGCAAACATGCTGCAAGAGAGCTAATCCTAGCCTCACAAATGGAGCAACATCTGGTTCCAGAGACGGAAACTGAGCAAATGATCCCCCTCCATTTCAATGAAGGGATGGTTCACCAATGGAAGACTCATGGCTATACCCACCTACACTATGGAGCAATTAGGTTGGCGTTAACTCTGCATGGAAGAAAAGGCCTACCTGTCGTGGCGAGAGTTGCCCTACTCGGCAAATCCCTAGAGAAGAATTAGTCAAATTACTTCCAGAGTCTTGGGTGACAAATTACGAAAAGCTTCATGAAAGCAGCGTACTGATTAAATCCGTGGACTCCTCCATCTACAAGAGAAAAGACGGAGCGATCGAGATATCTTTTAAACAACAAGATGGTGAAAAATCACGGCATCCAGCGTTTTGCGCTGAGATAAATGCAATCTCTCCAGCCGAGGAAGTACAACCCCTAAAGCAATATTTGCCCGGTGTTCCAATAAACAAATTTAATGCAGCCGGAGACCCTATCTATGCATTGTCAGACGAAACAGGTCACAAATTCTTTGACGTCTGTGACTGTGACTATTGCCTAATGAGTAGCTCAGATGAAGAAGAAAAACCAAGCCGAAGAAAAAAGAAATCATCCCAGCAAATTCTCAAGGAACGATACGAATCTGGAGACCCCGAAGTTGGTCTTCTTGGAGAACCTATGGGGAAGGAGTTTGAATACTATGTCTTGTATTCAAACGGATCAACTCCACCAACACCTGACAATGAAGATGTCCGCACATGTTATATGTTCGGTTCTTCGTCCTCTCAAGAGCCAACATTTCCAACACGAGAATTTGAAGAAGGCAACATCAGACACTCATGGAAAATCAGAAATCCGAACGTTAAAAATCCATATGGAACGGCAAAACAAGTTAGTGCAGCAGAAGCAACTTTAAATTGGCAATCAGAAAACGCTATGGTCCAAAACCATCTCTTGAGCCAAATCGACAGAAAGGTATCTATCCTGGACCTTTCAATCAAAGAAATCAACAAAATGATAAGTTCTCTTCACCAAGAACTCTTACACCTGGCGACTACTGTTTCCACAACTTCCCCACTCATGTACCAAAAGGAGTCAGAGCTAAGATCCCTTAAAACCCAATTACAATCATTACAAAACCAGCCCAAAACACAGACCCCAATGCCATATGATCTCTTCACACCCTATCCTATATATTCTCCACCAGCCATGACCCAAACACAACCTCTCTCCTTTTCCCATGACCCAAGTATCTTTGGATCATCCTCCTTCCTACCAACAAGAATCAAAGAGCAACGTCCTGCAAAAAAGAAACACCCAACTGTTCCTAAAGAAACTCCAAAGATTTCTGCGCCAGAAAACACGAAGACCACTTCACCTGAAAAGGGTGAAGCACAGTTTATGGTGGAACACGCCAAAAATCCAATCTCTACATCTCTTGAACAAGTGGCGGAGCAAACAAAACCACCAAAGCAACAACGTTCTGCGAAAAGCCTGATGACGCTACAAGAAAGTTCTGACGAAGAGTTCATAATCCCAAACTTCATGATGGCCGAACCAACAGTAGAAGAAGAAGATATGGAAAGCGATGGTGGAAACATATCTGAAGACAGAAGAGAACCACAGAGGCCTCAAACTCCACCAGACTGGAATCCAAGAAGCCACACTGACTCACACAGTGGTTTCTCTTTCGACAATGTTCCCCCATCAAAATGGAGAGACAAAATCTACGAGATGCATGCATGGCTCACCGAACAACTACTCAACCCAGGAGCTACTCTCCCTACAGTAATAGACAAGATAATCTCCAAATTCCATGGTCGTCTCAGACAGTGGTGGATCAGCCTTGGAGATTACAGACAGCTACAGATCCGCCAATCTCAATCAGTGGATACTGTGATTGGGCATATCCACAATGAATTTCTTGGAACATGGGATCACTATACAATCCAAGCAAGGGAAGAATACATGAGCATGAGATGCTGCTCTTTCAAAAGAAAAGATTTGGAGAAGCACTATGAGAGGATGTCAAAAAGATTCTACGTACTAAATGGAATTGACGATGTCAATCTCAAGCAGGCGTACTTGAACTCACTTCCAGAACCTCTTAGAAATGAGACATCTTGAATATTATCCGTAAAGAATATGACTCTAAGTTAAGCTTCTTTGGGAGAAATATACCAGATCTCGCTTGCAGCTCTCAAGAAGCTGTGCAACCACCAAAAGTTCTTCAAACAGCTGCAAGAACAAGGAAAACTACTTGGAAGAGCATGTGACCGTCCAGAGCTCTCCATCAAATGCAAAACAAAAAGTGTGGATGTTCTACGAGCTATAAACAGGAGAAAAATCCAGAAACAAATGGCAAAAGAGGTATCCCAAGCTATCTGGTGGAAAGAAATGGAAATTCTTCAGGAGAAAGAAACAAAGAGGCAACACAAAATCTGACAGATGCTACATCTGGAAAAAGAAAGGACATTATGAAAAACAATGTCCAAATAAGAAGAAGAGGGATAATCTCTTTGGATATCTAGCCCAAGTAGAAGACATTGACGACTCAGACATGGAGTCCATCTTCACTCTTGATGATGAACCAACTGATGATACAGTCCTTGCAATGGGAATTGAGCATGATGATGAATTCTCAGAAGAATCTGAAACCGAAGAAGAAGAGGATGCTGAAGACCAATTCATGCTTTTTGATCTCTACACCCTAGACTCATGCAAGGTTGAAGAGTCAAAAGAAGCAGATTTGGCGTATCTATCCCAACCTGCTCCAAATGCCAAGATCTACATCTTCCCTACCAAATACGATAAGCCTATACCGGTGATAGCCTTCTTTGATACAGGAGCTGCGTCTTCAATCATCAAACCAGATATACTCCCATCAACCCATTGGGATCGGTGTTCAGTGGCCTTCAAAGCAGCCAACGGGCAGATATTCCACATCTCCCTCATCAGTAAGCCCATCCATATCCAATTACTTCTAGGATATATGGTTAAATCTAAAGTATATGGGTCTGGTCTTCCGGGAAAAGACTTCATACTTGGATCTGATATCCTCCATAGCTTTAAAAGCGTATCTTGGCACCCAAAAGGCCTTAAACACAAAAACCACATGTTATCATGGACAACCATTTCCCATTTTTACCCCATGGAACTCCTGAACCCCATCAAAGAAGAGATTACCAAGACCTCTTGTGCCAGTTCTCACTCAGAATTCCTCACCAAATGTTCTTCACCCCTATGGCAAAATCCAGACTTCTTCATATCCTTGCCATTCAAGAAAAATGAAGATATCAATCCCACAAAGGCTAGTCATCCAGGGATGAAGCCAGATCATTATACTCTGGCACTTGAAGAAGTAAACCCACTCCAAAAGGAAGGTCTCATCGAAAAAACAACTTCACCATGGGCATGCGAGGCTTTCTACGTCAACAAAAGGGCAGAACAAGTCCGAGAAAAATTGAGGTTAGTCATCAATTACCAGCCACTCAATCACTTCCTTGCTGATGACAAGTTTCCATTACAGAAGCGAGAAGTCTTATTCCAAAGGCTCCCACAAGCACAAGTCTTCTGATATATTCATAAATTACATCTTTTAGTGTACATATTTTAGTCCAAATCATGTCTTATCTCATGCATTTTAGGTCTTTAGGCATTGTTTTAGGACTTAGGAGATTGCATTAGGTCCAAGAGAGTTTTGCATGGTTTGGAGTGTTAAACAGGTTCTTTTGGAGCCTATTTGGAGTGGAGGATGTGATTCAGATGAAGAAATGGAGTTGAAATGATCAAAAATGGTGTAAAGGAGCAATTTTGGGTTTCTCGGCAAAATGCTGTACTGATGGCCGAAGATTCTCGGCCAAAATCCTTCCCGCGGGTATACCTCTCGGCCAAAAACACGTACCAGCGGTCAAGTCTCTCGGCCAAAAATCCCGGGTGCAGATACATTTCCGAAATTGCGTCACCGGAAGATCTTGCCGGCCGATTCAGCTTACAGGGTCTTCAGCAAAGTTGGAGATAATTGAGTCAAGAACCCAGGACAGGTTGAATCAGGGCATTTGGAGCACTGAGCTGAAAGATACAGTCACCGGAAGACAGACCTCTCTCGCATCCATTCCGGAGCAATCCGATACTCCTGAATGATCGCCTGTCCGGGGAACCTTCCGGTCCGATTCAGTTGTCGAGGGCTTCATCAAATTTGGAGAAAATTGGATCATGTTTCCAGAACAGGTGGAATCATAGGATTTTGAGGCGTGAGTAGAGAGTTAAGCTCACCGGAAGGCACGCCTGTCTCGCTACCGTTTTGGACCGACCCGATGAGCTCCGAAGATTGCGAAGGACGATGCACTTCCAGACCGATTCAGTCTACAGGTCCGTCATAAAGATTTTAGATATTTGAGTCCTCTTTCCCGAACGTTTGAGATCATTCAATTTGAAGCCATGAGCAAGAAGATAACGTTTCCGGAATGGACACATGTCTAGAAGCCTCTTTCTGACCGTGTCAATGTACTGCAAAGATGAGCCCTCCGGGGAACCTTCCACTTCCCAAGCGCCGAGTGTTTCTTCACCAACGTTCGATATATTTGAGGTTTCTCTCCAATACAGTTAAAATAATGCCATTTGGAGCTATATCTTGGAAGTTACTCTCCCCTCAATGCAAAGTGGTCCGAGAAGGCTTAGGTTGTGCGATACGGTACTGCGACTTGATTAACTCGCACCCATGAATATTCAACGCTCTGGAAACAAGTTGAGACTTTTGAGATGAGTGTAAGGAGACTCTGAGCAAGGCAGAGACTTCCAGAATCAAATTTGAGTAAGTCCACAATGCTGTGCGGGATAGACCTGCGAGTTGGACATGAAGTGGAACCATGTAGCACATGTGTTCGCAAATTACACCGACTTGGGCATGCGACTTGGACAAGGAAGTGACCATCTCGCACACATATTATCTCCATAATGCGTCCTGGTTGTGAAAATTGAATAGAAGGAAGCCTGAGCAGCACAAACATTCGCTGTTTACACCTAGATAGGCATGCGGCTGAGGCTGAGGGATTTATGGCGCACAAGGCTGCTTCTATAGCTGTGCGACTTGAGCCTGCGACTTGAGAAGCACCTGACCATGTCGCACACCAGCCACCAGACCCAACTGAGCCGGGTCAGTACCCAGTTTGTCCTGGGCTGACCCGGTCCATTAGCACTTAGTATATATAGTTTTTTGGGAGAAAAACCCTAGAGGGAATCTTCTCACTTTGTTTTCTCTCTAGTTTTCTTTCCTTTTTAGAGTAAAAACGTTTTTGATTAAGAGATATCTGAAGGGATTTGATCATTCCAAAGATGTTTCTTATCATCTCATCATCTCATTTCTACTTCTAATCATGATTATCATCTCTTGCAAAAGATTAGATGTGTTCTTCATGATTAGTGAGTAGTAATCTTTTAAGCTTCTAGGTGTGTAGATTAGGGTGCTTAGATGTTTGATTTATGATGTTTAGGGACTAGATTCTCATTTCATTTCCTTACTTAGCTGTTCCTAAAGCTAGATCTTTGCACATCACTCTGGTCTAGAGCTTAGGCAAATCTCCACCCACAAAGTGTTTGATGAAATGCCTGAATGAAAGCTAACTAAGGGTTTGTTAATTGCATAAATGACATATTAGAACTGTTTCTTAATGCTCATTAGTTCATATTTCACAAATGGGAATTTGGTTTGAAAGTGGATTAGTGTAGAGATTAATGCCTTCATGAGAGGATTAGTCTAGATTAGAGTTGTAAGTTGAAATGTTTGAGATCATGTGATTGCTTGCTATGTCCTTCTGTGTAAGATTCAGTCTTCTTGGTTGAGAGATTGTTTGGTCACTTATTAGGCTTGATGCATTATGCTTGTTGATTGCTTGATTATATCTAATGGTTGTTAGACTTGATTAAGTGATTAGCAAAGGGATTATTTTCATGGGAATGAATTAATCTGCTTTTGAAGTCTAGACTAAAGAGTAACTTGCATTGCATTATTGTTATTAGCATCATGAATTGATATCTACAGCACCCTAATCAATGATCACATCTAGAGGTTTAGCTTTTATCATTTGCTTAATCATCATCACTTTGTTTTGTTTGCTTGCTTAGTTCATTAATCATAGCTTGTTTGTTTTTTTTGTTTTATGTTTTCTTGTTACTTTGTTCACACCAAAACTCATCTTTGATCACTTGACTTAAGAGCTTATCACATAAACTAGTGCCTAACTACCACACATTTGGATTGACACCCCTTATACTAAGACCTAAAAATCTTAGTTATCAATTGGCGCCGTTGCCATATTGTGTGGGGATTGTTAGCATTAGTTTCTGATATAGTTTTTGAGATCAAGTTTATTTTGTTTTACCGATCACTTTTCAAGCTCTGTCTTTGTCTTCAGGTTTATGATCACAAGAAGCCAAGCCAGAAGACAAAGAGAAAGAGCTATTCACTTGGAGAGGTTAGGAATGAATCAGCAAGTTGGGAATGAGAATCAGGCTCAAGAAGCTGATAACGGTCAAAGAGCTGGCAATGGGATTAGAATTCAAGTTCAACAGGCTCATGGTGGTAATGGAAACCACCAGGCTCAACAAGAAGGTCCAGCACCACTTCCAAGAATAGTTGTGGGAGCTGGTGATGAGGCCAATACTCAGGGTCAGAGATATGGGATTCAAGCTCCTACACCTGAAAATGATTTTGAGATCAAATCTGGCTTGATCAACATGGTGCAATCAAACAGGTTCCATGGCTTAGCACTAGAAGACCCATTAGATCACATTGAAAACTTTGATAGAGTTTGTGATCTAACTAAGATGAATGGAGTGAGTGAGGACAGTTTCAAGTTGAGGCTATTCCCTTTTTCTCTAGGAGACAAAGCTCATCAGTGGGAAAAGTATATACCTCAAGGATCAGTCACAACATGGGAGCAATGCAAAAGAGCATTTCTAACCAAGTTCTTCTCTTCATCAAGAACAACAAGGTTAAGAAATGAAATCTCAAGTTTCATTCAGAAGAACCATGAATCATTTTTTGAGGCTTGGGAGAGATTTAGAGGATATACCATGCAATGCCCTCACCATGGATTCTCAGATTGTCAGCTGCTAAGTACTTTCTA